CGCAGGCAAAAGAACGCCGATGGGTTGGTGCACAGGGCCAGCTCGCTCATGGGGCAGCAGGAGCAACGATCGAGAGGCGAGTCATGGGCTCGCCACAGACGCGGCCTGCGGCTTGGACGCGCACTATCGACAGATCGCGGCGAAATTGTGCAAGGGTGGCTCCGTTCTCAGCCAGTCGAGCGGCGTCGGCGGCTCGATGGTCAAGTCAGGCATCGAGCTGAAGTCCGACTACAGCCAGTGCGCGGCGCGGCTCGGGAGGAAATGGGGCGCGGGGGACGGCGCCGCGCTCCGTGCCTGTTGGACGGTGGGAGACATCGACGCGGCTTGCGTTCCCAGGAGGGAGGTCGGAACGGTCGTGCAGAGAGGGTTGGTGAGGTCCTACGGAGCGCCCCCGACTGTGGGGCTACTCCCAGAAGCGGAGGCGGCGAGGCGCGAGGGCCGCGCGCCGCTGCAGCCCCTCACCTCGCACACCTGGCCATCAAGAGCCTGCTGCCCTCCGACGCACGCAGCTCGCACATCAAGGACGCGCTGGGCAACGCCAAGCGCGCGGCGCCCATCGTCACGCGCGCGATCGCACATTGCGAGAGACCGCGTCGGCAACGACATGGGCGTCGAAGCAGAGCCTGGTGAAGTCCGAGGAGAAGGCCATCAAGGCGTGGAAGGGGGCGCGCGGAGACGTGGCCGGGATGCGCGGCAAGGCCTTCGCCTCGGCTGGAAGGGGCCCGAAGGTCCACGAGGCATTGGCGCGCGCCGCGACGCACGCCGTCGGCTCGCCCATCGACAGCAGCAGCGAGCACGAGATCCGCGACGCGCTAAAGGGCTACCTCGACTCCGCGGACACGGACTGCGACGACTGGGGTGGCGGGGGGGCGGGAAGAAAGGGGGGAGATGATGGGCTCCGGCCCTCCCTCTCGCCTCCCCCCCTCCCCCTCCGCGCCCCCCTCCCCTTCTTCGCCCCCGTGCGTTCTGGTTGCGACGCGGCGCGCGCCGCGAGCCCGCGCCTCGAGGCGCGCGGGCGAGAGGAGGGGGAGACCGGGACATCTAACGCGAGGCCCTGGCCCACCAAGTCGCGTCTATGAAGTTGTCCGCTGGCGCCGCGCGATCATCGCACGCGCGCGCCGCGCGCTATCGAGATCCAGTCCGTCGGCGCTTCGATCGGGGAAATGGCGCGTTCCGTCCCGTCCTTCCTGTTTCGCCCCTCTCCTCCCTCCGCCCCTCTCCTCCCCGTTCGTGTTCCGTCGTGGCTGTGCTCCAACGGCTGCGCGGCCGTTGCCCCGGCTCCTGTCGCGAGTCGCACCCCTTAGATCGCCCATTGCGGGCGCGCCGCGGGTGATGCATGACTTGCGCGCGCGCATGCCAGGTTCTGAGGAACGACTGGACAACGCTTTCTTATGATCGCTTCCTCTGTCTGCCCCCTCCCTCTCTCTATCCTATTGGAGAGGCCTGACGGCCGGTGCCGCCGACCCTGATCGAAAGAGCTAGGAGTGGGGGGAGGAAGCGGAGGAGGAGGAGGAGGAGGAGGAGGAGGAGAAGGAAAAGGAGCAGGAGGAGGAGGAGAAGGAGGAGGAGGAGGAGGAGGAAGTGCATCCTTTGTGTGCCCGCTCGAAGAAAGTGCGCCCCGGGAGTGTGATGTTCTGACTTGGGACGTGCTCCCGGAAGAGGAAGAAGTGCATCTCGGGCGTGCCCGTTCAAGGAAAATGCGCCTTAAGGGGGGGTATTTTGACTCGGGGCCCGCTCCCGGGACGCCTCTGCGGGAGGAGGAGGAGGAGGAGGAGGAGGAGGAGGGGGAGGAGGAGGAGGAGGAAAAGGAGAAGGAAAAGGAGAAGGAGGAGCAGGAGGAGGAGGAGGAGGAAAAGGAGGAGGAGGAGGAGGAGGAGGACCAGGAGGAGGAGAAGTGCATCCCGTGCGTGCCCGCTCGAGGAAAGTGCGCCCCGGCGGGCGTCGTATCTGCCCCGGGCCCCCCCCCCCCTCCCCCCCCCTCCCCCTTGCGGGGAAGGGATCACAGGGAAGGGGCTTCCCTTCGACTCCAGTACGACGTCGTTTAATTTCGTTTTGGATAGCGCGCTTGAGGGGGAGAGCCCTGGAGGGGGAGAGCGGAGACGACGGAGACGACGAGTCGAACGGAGAAGCCCTTCACACACGCCGACAGGGTCGGCGGATTTCTAAGCTCTGTGTGCACCAAGGTTTTTTTTGACACCGGACACGTTATACCGCATAGTACAGCCTTATATCACATGGTATATCACGATGCGTTATGATTACGTATATTTATGTGTATATATATATGCATATATATATACATATATATATGTATATGTATATGCATATATATATATATATATATATGTGCACATATATATATATATATATATTATATATTTATATATATATATATATATGTATATACATATATACACATATATATATATATTAATATATATATGAGGGCGCGCCGCTGGATGACCCCAAGGGGGGGGGGGATCCCCCCCCCTTTCCCCGATTTGTCGTCGGGGACCCCCCCCCTCCCCCCCTTTTTCCCGATCCGTCGTCGGGGAACCCCGTCCCCCCCTTGCCCGGTCCGTCGTCGGGCAAACCCCCCCCCGTCCTCCCCCTTGCAAAAGGGGGGGGGGGTCTGAACCCCCCCGCCTTCCCCCTTGAGGGGCCGCCAAATTCGACCCCCCCCCCCCCCTCCCCCCCTTTCGCCACGGCGCCCCCGGTCTCCGGAACCCTACCCCTACCACCCCTAGCACCAATCCTCACCCTTACCCTAGCCCTTAATCCGAAACCCAAACCCTAGCCCCAAACAGTAGTCACTACTCATTACGCACTGTTCACTACCCACAATCCACTACTAGCTACTCACTACTCACCTCTCACTACTCACGACTCACTACTCACTACCCAGGACTCACTACCAACGGTTCACTATTCACTACAAACTATGTATTCACGGTTCGCTACCCACTACTCACTACTCACTACTCACTAAACACAACTCACCACCCACTATTCACTCATCACAAAGTACAGCTCACTACCAACTAACCACTATCCACAATTCACTACTCACACTTCACTACGCATTACTCACTACCCACAACATACTACTCACGATCCACTATTCGCTACTCCCTACTCCCTACACAGTACTCACTACTCGACTCGCTACCGAACACGCACTATTCACTACCCACGATTCACTATTCACTACGCTCCCGCTACTCACTATTCACGACTACCTACTCCCCACTCATTACTCCCAACTCACTATTCCCTACTCACAACTCACTACACACTACTCACTACTTACTATTCGCTACTCCCTACTCGCTACGCACTACTCCTTACTCACTAGTGGCTCCTGACTACTCCCTCCTCACTACCTACTACTCACAACGCCCTACTCTCTACTCGCTACTCACTACTCGCTAGTCCCTACTTGCTACTCACCTCTCACTACTCACTACTCTGTATTCGCTGAGCAGCACTCTCTCCTCACGACTCACTCCTCGCTATTCGCTACTGTCTACTCCCTCATCCCCACGCCCTGCTTACTACTCACTATGCACTACTCACTACACATCACGCAGTCCTCCCTACTCACTACTCACAATTTGTTCCGCACTACTTCCTTCCCATAACTCACTACCCACTACTCACTACTCACGAATCTCTACGTGCTACTCACTACTACCACTACCCACTACCCACTACTCATTATTTACCACTCACGACTCCTGCGCACTACTCACTAACAAATACCCACTACGCACCAATCGCTATTCAAAACACTTTATTCCCTACTCACTACCCGAAAGGCCCCCTCCCCAGCCCCGTGTTCGGCGCAAAGGGGGGGAGGAGGGGGGGGGGGTTCGAACCCCCCCCCCCTTTCCCGCGCCAAGGGGGGGAGGAGGGGGTGGTCCGGGACCCCCCCCCCCTCTTCAAGAGGGGGGGGTTCGGACCCCCCCCACTTGAGGGGGGAGGGGGGGGGTTCTGCGAGCATACCCCCCCCCTCTGTGTATTCAGGACCATCCACTGGCGCGCTTTATATACATACATACATACATACATACATACATACAGACAGACAGGCAGACAGGCATACAGACATACATACATAATGCGAATGCATGTTTAACCGTATGTATGTACACGTACGTATATACAAATACATATGTACACACATTCATGTACATGCATACACATACTCTTTCAACTGTAGTAGTATGTGTCGTTGTGGTTAAACAAACATACATGTATATGTGTGTAGATGTGTGTGCATATATCTATATATAGATATATGTGTACATGTATCTGATGAAGCCATTATTTATACACAGATATGTGCATGACATTATACTTTCGTATGCGTGTAAGTACACACATGTGTGTATACATATATGAAAAAAAAAACATATGTGTTATCGGTGTGCGCGTGTGTATGTGTGTGCGCACGTTCGCTCCTGACAGACCCACGCCAAGATGGCCCAAGGAACCTGTAGGGCCTCGGCTACATGGGGCAGCGGAAGAGATCGAAGCAAAGCAGGAAGGGCGAGGCGTGGGGGGAGCAGGAGAGGCTGGCGACAGAGAGGGGGGATGGGGATCCCCCAGGTTTCTTTTCCCCCGCCCTCCCCTCCTCCTGACGCCCGCTATCCCGTCGGCGTCCTCCCCCTCCTCCCTCTTCTGTTCCTCCTCTCTCCTGTCCTCGGGGGGGGTACCATACCGAACCTGTGGCTGTAAGTGCTGGGCGATTGCATGTCCAGGCGCCCGCTTGCCACCGCACATCCAACATTGAGGGGCACCTTCTGGCCAGGCTTGGAGACAACATCTCAGCTTGAATTTGCAATCTGGCTGCGCAGTGTGTTTTCAATCGCGTGCAAGTCGAGGATAACCCGATATTGGGCCGCAGCCGCCGACTCCTCGTCCTCGCCCCCTGTCCCCCTTCTCTGTGAGGGTGGGTGGGCCTCACTGCCACTCTAGATGATCTGAGCGGCCCCCAGGTGGGGCTTCATCGAGTGCGACGCCACGAGGACACTGTACGGCAAGGATATATTCGTGCTGTCCTCGGAATTCAAGGGGATCCCCGTGGGGCAGGTCCTCCTCATCCTCCTGCCGTTCCTCCTCTCCCACCACTGCCCTCTTGCAACTGACTCCGATAGCGTGATCGTTCTGCGGTGTGGGCCCGCGCAGAAGTCGACCAGAATCCCAGGACGCGGTCTTCAACTGCGTGTTTTGTTGCTTGTTTTTTACCGATGTTTTGTCCCACCCCTCCTGAGCTGTGTCCTCGTTTTGAATAGAGCACTGCGCGATCCGTCCTCACACCTCCTCCCTTCCTCTTCTCCTCCCCTCCCCGCCTCCGCGTGCCACCCGCTGTGCTCCCAACCCTCCTGTGCTGGGCACTCGTCTTGAATAGAACACTGTGCTGCCCGAGGCTCCTCCTCCGCGGAAACGGCAGGGCCGCTTTTGAACCGTTTCCCCAAAAAAATCCCTTGAACATGGAAACGGCGAAAAAATGGCGACCGGAAACGGCAACAAAAACGGCTCCAGGAGTGGAACCTGAGCCGGAACCGGTAAAAAAACAGCGTCGGTGCCGGCAAAGAAGAGGCAAAACGGAACCGGTAAAAAAAACGGCTTTGCCGTTTCCAGGGCCCACTAAGGTTTTCTCTGGCCCGTCTCTTCCTTCGATGCCTCGTCCTCCCGTCTCGATTCCTTCGATTCCTCCTCCTCCTCCTTCGATTCCTTGGGACCCCAGTTGGGACCTCGCGGCTCCCCTGGGGGGGCTACGAAGTGTGCAGTTGTCGCCCCTTTTCGCGGGCTCCTGGGAGGTCCCGCGGAATGGGGGGACACGGGGATCTAGTTGGGACCTCGCGGCTCCCTGGGGGGCTGCGAAGTGTGCAATTGTCGCCCCTTTTCGCGGGCTCCTGGGAGGTCCCGCGGGGTGGAGGTTCACGGGGACCCATTCGAGACCTCGCGGCTGCGAGGTGCGCACCTGTCGCCACGTTCGTGGGCTCCCGGGAGGTCCTGTGGAGTGGGGGGGGGAGGGAGGCATGTGGATCCAGTTGGGACCTCGCGGCTCCCCGGGGGGGGGGGCTGCAAAGTGTGCAATGGTCGCCCCTTTTCGCGGGTTCCTGGGAGGTCCCGCGGGGTGGAGGTTCACGAGGACCCCTTTGAAGCCTCGCGGCTGCGAGGTGCGCACCTGTCGCCACGTTCGTGGGCTCCCGGGAGGTTTTGTGGAGTGGGGGGGGCATGTGGATCCAGTTGGACCTCGCGGCTCCCTAGGGGGGGCTGCGAAGTGTGCAATTGTCGCCCCTTTTCGCGGGTTCCTGGGAGGTCCCGCGGGTGGAGGTTCACGAGGACCCCTTTGAGGCCTCGCGGCTGCGAAGTGTGCAGTTGTCGCCCCTTTTCGTGGTTCCTGGGAGGTCCCGCGGAATGGGGGGACACGGGGATCTAGTTGGGACCTCGCGGCTCCCCGGGGGGCTGCGAAGTGTGCAATTGTCGCCCCTTTTCGCGGGTTCCTGGGAGGTCCCGCGGGGTGGAGGTTCACGAGGACCCCTTTGAAGCCTCGCGGCTGCGAGGTGCGCACCTGTCGCCACGTTCGTGGGCTCCCGGGAGGTCCTGTGGAGTGGGGGGGGGGGGGGCATGTGGATCCAGTTGGGACCTCGCGGCTCCCCGGGGGGGGGGCTGCAAAGTGTGCAATGGTCGCCCCTTTTCGTGGGCTCCTGGGAGGTCCCGCGGAGTGGAGGTCCACGGGGAGTTGGGACCTCGCGGCTCCCTGTGGGGCTGCGAAGAGCGCATCTGTCGCCATTATCGTGGGCTCCTGGGAGGTCCCGCGGAGTGGGGGGACGCGTGGATCCAGTTGGGACTTCGCGGCTCCCCTGGGGGGGCTGCGAAGAGCGCAATTGTCGCCACTTTCGTGGGCTCCTGGGAGGCCCCCCGTAGTGGGGGGACGCGGGGATCCAGTTGGGACCTCGCGGCTCCCCGTGGGGCTGCGAAGAGCGCAAGTGTCGCCACTGTGTGAGGTCGCCATTTCCGCCAAAGGGTTGGGTACTTCCCTGGGCGATTGTTTTTGGCGGCCCAGGCGGCCCGCGAACGGCGCTCCACAGTCCCAAGTGCTATGAGAAGCCAGTCGCGTGATTCCTTCACGACGGACGTTTGGAGGCAGCGTTTAGCTCACCGATTGCTCGCCTATTTTCGCTCCAAGTCGGCCCCTGTACTCCTCCCAAACACCATCCTTGCCAGTTGTTCGAGCTGCGCTCAGCCAGGGCCACGAGAGCCCCCCGACACCCCTAAACTGCAGAAATCATCACAGCTTGTTACTCTTGCTGCTCCTCCGCCTCCAGGAGGTCCTGCCTCCTCATCTCTTTTCCTGAGATCCGACAGTGCGAACCAAACGCGGCATCGACAGCAATCACGACCAGAGCCCCAGACCCCGTCGGTCCGTGGCATCTGCCGAGCCAGATCGACGACCTGCGATGGCCCTGGGGTCCGGCACTGGGCGAAGCTGTCTGGCGTGAAGCAGTTGGCGACGACCGGATGTCAGCAGCACTCCCCAGGGCTCGCAGCTCACCTTCTCGGTGACCCAGGGGAACAAGGGGCCCATCGCCGCAGACGTCCAGGTCATCGGGGCCGAGGGGCTCCCGGTGTCCGCCCCGAAGAGCCTGTCGTCCGAGCAGCTCTGCGGCGTGGTCAAGAGCTGGGACGAGGCGGCCGGTTCCACGAAGCAGCGGCCCGCTTGTCACGACCACCACCGTACGATAGCTTCAGGTCGGGCCTGTCCCCTTACAGGGGGATTTTGGACGAACAATAGAAGATGCCCGAAAAATTCTCCAAAGGGGTCCAAAAGAGTCAAAAAAACGTCCCCGCATTATTTTTTGGCTATTCTTGAACATTCCCCCTGTAGGGGAACAGGCCCGACTCAACGATAGCTTCGTGTCGTGCCGACTCGGCAGCGACCCCAGCGCGGGCGCTCGAGGTCGGACGCCGCCAGTGGCCCAGGATCTGCGGATGCGGAACGATGTGTCGGGCCGGGCGAAAGGGGGGGATTGGGAAATGGGGGTTACGAAATTTGCTGCATGCAGCTGGTTTCGGCCCCACCGAGGGGCCCATTCCTCGATACATGGCCGCCTCCGGCGCTGGGAGGCGCCGGGAAAATCAGCTACGCGAGCTGATTCTCAAACCCCCCCTTTGCTATCCCCCCCTTTCGCCCGACCCGAATGTGGCGATCGAGCAACCGCCGGTGGTTCAAGGTGGAACGATAAGCGCGGTGTCAGAAACCAGCGACGGGGTCGTCACGACACGAGCCTGGTGGCTGGCAGACCTGTGGCTGTGTTTCATTGGGCGCGTCCAGCGCCTCGTCTAACAAGGCGCCCGCGTGGGTCGTCCGTTCCCCGCGCTGCATTTTCTGTTCATACTGGGCTCTTCCGTCCGGCTTCGGGCCCCAGGACCATCACAGATCGATCCGGCCCGAGAGATGCAGCGGAGAGGTGGGGTCCAGGGCTCCACTCGTGATGTTTTGGCGATGTTGCACTTTGTTCCAACCCTCCGTTGTTGGGTTCTCGTTCGAATAAAACACTGCGGTCTCCACGGCATCCTTCTGCCGTCTCCCTCCCGCCTCCCCCCTGACATTGCCGTCCCTGGGAGGCTGCGATCTGCGAAACTGTCGGCACTTTCGAGGGCTGCTGGGGGGGGGCCAGCACAGTGGGGCCCCATGTGGATTCAGATTAGACCGCGCCATCCCTGGGGGGCTGCGATCTGCGAAACTGTCGGCAGTTTCGAGGGCTGCTGGGGGGGCCAGCACAGTGGGGCCCTAAGTGTATTCAGATTAGACCTCGCCGTCCCTGGGGGGCTGCGATCTGCGAAACAGTCTGCACTTTCGAGGGCTGCTGGGGGGGCCAGCACAGTGGGGCCCTATGTGGATCCAGATTAGACCTCATCCATGGGGGGCTGCGATCTGCGAAACAGCCAGCACTTTCGAGGGCTGCTGGGGGGGCCAGCATAGTGGGGCCTCATTCGGATGCAGAGTAGACCTCATCCATGGGGGTCTGCGATCTGCGAAACAAGCAACACTTTCGAGGGCTGCTGGGGGGGCCTGTTCAGTGGGGCCCCATGTGTATTCAGATTAGACCGGGCCAGCACAGTGGGGCCTCATTCGGATTCAGATCAGACCTCATCCCTGGGGGGCTGCGATCTGCGAAACAGTCGACCCTTTCGAGGGCTGCTGGGGGGGCCAGCACAGTAAGGCCCCATGTGGTTTCAGATTAGACCTCACCATACCTGCGGGGCTGCGATCTCAAAACAGTCGGCACCTTCGAGGGCTGCTGGGGGGGGCCAGCACAGTGGGGCCCCATGTGTATTCAGATTAGATCTCGTCCCTGGGGGGCTGCGACCTGCGAAACAAGTCGGCACTTCCGAGGGCTGCTCGGGGGCAAGCACAGTGGGCCCCATGTGGATTCAGATTAGACCTCGCCATCCTTGGGGGCTGCGATCTGCGAAACTGTCGGCAGTTTCGAGGGCTTCTGGGGGGGGGCCAGCACAGTGGGCCCCATGTGTGTTCGGATTTGACTTCATCCCTGGGGGCTGCGATCTGCGAAACAGTCTGCACTTTCGAGGGCTTCTGGGGGGCCAGCACAGTGGGGCCCTATGTGGATTCAGATTAGACCGCGCCATCTCTGGGGGGCTGCGATCTGCGAAACTGTCGGCAGTTTCGTGGGCTGCTGCGGGGGGCCAGCACAGTGGGGCCTCATGTGGATTCAGATTAGACCTCGCCGTCCCTGGGGGGCTGCGATCTGCGAAACTGTCGGCCCTTTCGAGGGCTGCTGGGGGGGCCAGCATAGTGGGGCCTCATTCGGATTGAGGTTAGTTTGTGCCATCCCGGGGGGGGGCTGCGATCTGCGAAACAGTCGGCGTTTCGAGGGTGGATTCCCCTATGGTGCGTCGAAGCGTGTGGGGATAGCGCCGGAGTAGCGTGGAGAAGGCAGACGAACCTTGCCACTGGGGCCTTCTTCTCCCCGCGTGGTATCCGATGACGATGACGATGGCGACGCTTGTTGAATGCTGAGCGCATGGTCATCCCCATCGGCATGGCCATCGTCATCGTCATCGCCATCGCTGCCGCCGCTCAGGTGGAGGGCACCGGGCTCATCACCGGCGAGGGGGTCGCGTCCAAGTTCGGCGGCAGGGACGTGCCGTTCGGCCGCGGCGCGCTCGGGGGGAAGCCCGTCTTCGTCGGCGACCAGGCTGGCGGCCCCGTTCCAATGCGGCGGGCCCTCGCCGCCTCGGCGCGGCGGCGGCGCCCGCGCGTCGGCGGCGCAGTGCGGGCCCTGCCCTCGCCCATCCGCCATGCAGGCGACTCGATGGGCGGCGGGGGCTCTGCACTCGTCGGGCACGTGGCGAGGGTGAGGCTGGTCCCAACCTGCTTTAGCCTTGATCACCAGAATGAAGTTCGAGCGCCAGAACAAGTACCGAAACTCAAGGGTTTTCACGTGTCGGGCCCTGGGAGACATTCGCCCGACACTGTCTCGACACTGTTTCGACACTCTTTTGACACTTTTCCGGGTGCTCGAAATTATTTCTGGGATGTGGTTCTTAAGTTGGATAGGAACAACATAAGGCGAGGGTCGTGAGCTCTGAATTGTTGACGCTTCGCGAATCCCCACCAGCCCATCCAGAAACGATTCCCAGAGGAATCGCCTCGATCAGGGAAGCGGGCAGCACACAGAGGAAGGGTCCCCCAGTGGAGGCTTCTTGGAGCGTCTTGGGGGCCTCTTGGCGGTCCCAGATGCCTCTTAGAGCGTCTTGGGTCCCTCGGGAAGCTTCTTGGGGCCTCTTGGGGGTCTCTTGGGAGCCTCTTGGAGGCCTCTTGGGCGCCTGTTGGGGCCTCCTGGGGCCTCCTGGACGCCTTTTGGTGCCCTCTTGAAGCGCTCTTGGGAGCCTGGGGAGCGCTCTTGGAGCCCTCTTGGGCCATCTTGGAGCCATCTGGGGGCCTCGGCGAGAAAGCCCAAAACATGGATTGCCCTGAGGTTTTGGAAGGATTTTGGCCTCTTCGGGGCCTCCTGGGGGAGCTCTTTGGCCACTTGGAGCCGTCTTGGAGCGGTCTTGGGGCATCTTGGAGCATCGTGGGCGCCATCTTGAGGCATCTTGGGATATCTTGAGCCATCTTGGAGATCATCTTTGGCTCTCCCAGGCGCTCTTGGAGTCATCTGAAGCAGTGCCCCCCCCTAGGAAGCCAAAATGTGGCCAACACCTTAGTAGAATCAACGATTTTGGCATTGTCGCCGAGGCCTCTTGGAGCGTCTTGGGTGCCTCTGGGGGGCCTCTTGGGGCCTCTTGGAGGTCTCTTGAAGGTCTCTTGGGAGCCTATTGGGGGGCTTCCTGGCCACCTCTTGGGGCACCCTTGGGAGCCTTGGGGGCCATCTTTGGGCCATCATGGGTGAGATCGATCACAGGAGGGGGGGTGTTAAATTAGCGTACCCCCCCCAAGAGGCCAAAATGGGGCCAAAACCATATTAAAATCAATGATGTTGGCTTCCTCACCGAGGCCGTTTTGGACGCTCCGACGACTCGCGAAACCCCTTGTCCAGGTCCATGGGGAGAGGGTAGGGGGAGGGGTAAACCACTCCCCGAAGGGGAAGAAAGAGGGGTGGAAGAGGAAATTCCCTAAACCACCGACGCCCAGAGGTCTGGTGGGATTCCGAATACGTCGATCCAGCGAGTTCTGGCTCCTCATCCTCCTCCTCCTCCTCCTCCGGCTCCTCCTCCTCCTCCTCCTCCTCCTCCTCCTCCTCCTCCTCCTCCTCTTCCTCCTCCTCGTCCTCCTCCTCATCCCATCCCCCTCCTCCTCCTCCTCCTCCTCCTCCTCCTCCTCCTCCTCCTCCTCCTCCTCCTCCTCCTCCTTTCTCACCGTGGGGGAAGCGAGTCCTGAAGGCAACTGGCGGGCTCTCAGGGCCCTCCAGGGGGCCCCAGGGCCATCAGGAAACGGCTCAGGATTGAGATCTCGTGCCGGGGGAAGGCCTTTGGGTGCAGGGCCCTTTTCCCTCAGGACCGGCTCTCCCATGCCATCCCTCCCTCAGAGGACTCCCCAACGGGGCCCGAGCACTTAGATGGGGCCGGAAGATCGCGCCGCATCGCCGATGCATCGGCGATGCTGCTCGATGTTCGGGGGCCCCGAAACGAGGTGGTGACCACACCGTGCGGTGAGTCGGTGGGGATTCGGGGTCACCGCACGGTTTTGGGACTCGGGTTGTTCTCCGAGGACGTCTCGGGCGACAGGGGCCTCCAGGGTCCCAAGACTGCGCGGTGACGGACCGTTCGGTGAGGTCTTGGGGGATTTCGAGGTCACCGCACGGTCTGTCACCGCACCGTTTCGGGACTCCAAAGATGTGGAGCCCGACTTTCTCCACGCCGACTTCGGCGTTGCATCGCGAACCGCGCGCAGGCAGTCTCGCGTGAACGGAGCTGCCCGCGCGAGGTCGCCCGCGCGGGCGCGCCCGTGCGGCCCCGCCGCTCCGAGGAAGCCTCCCCGATGTCCGCCGATGTGATCTCCTCAATCCTCCTCCTCCTCCTCCTTCTCCTCCTCCTCCTCCTCGTCCCTCCTCCTCCCTCCTCCTCCTCCCTCCTCCTCCTCCTCCTCCTCCTCCTCCTCCTCCTCCTCCTCCTCCTCAGACCTCCCGTCGACTTCCCTGCGTGCAGCGTTTCGCTTCAGAGCCGTGCTCGATGGGCCCGGGGCCCGGCAACGGGGCCCTCGAGGCCGGCGTCGAGGAGCGGCGCCCAGGTGGACCAGACCGCCTCGTCGAAGATCGGGGTAGATGCCCGTGCGCAGATGGCTCTTGGACCCTCGGCGCCTGAGGCCTCCTCCCGCGTTCCTCTCCTCCGCGGCCGCCCTCGTCTTTCCCTTGCCCTTTTTTCCCGAAGGAAGCCGAGGAACGTCCAGACTGAACAACCATCGGGTCGTCGGAGGTCTGGGCCTCGCGTGATGCCGCCGTGGTGCGCGGGCCCCTCACCGCCCAGGTGCGCTTCGGCTTCGCGCCGGGCGACGAGGGGCCCGTGGTGCACGAGGTGGAGGTGCTGCCCAGCGGCTGCGTAGTCAGCAACGGCTGCCGGCGGCGCACAGAAAGGGGCAGAGCGAGGGGGGCCCTGGCCTTCGAGGGAGGCGCCCCCGCCGCTCGGAGGCCCCCCCGCCTACCGATGCTTGTTGCTGGCCGTGGGAGCCTACAAGAACTGCTTTTTTGTCCTGGGGAGGCCACCTGCCCTCTGGTCGCGGGGATCAGAGCTGGCGGGCCGATTTCCCACCACCACCACCCGCCACCACAGGTAGGAGGGGGAGGAGGAGGAGGAGGAGGAGGAGGAGGAGGAGGAGGAGGAGGAGGAGGAGGAGGAAGAGGATTAGGAGGAGGAGGAGGAGGAGGGAGGAGGAGGAGGTTAGGAGGAGGAGGAGGAGGAGGGAGGAGAGGAGGAGGAGAAGGCCGAGGGCCTCCCAATCCTCCCTTCTCCCCCGTCCTACCTCTGGCAGTGGTGGTGGACCCCCCGGCGGGGGGCGCGAAGAGCAAGAGCCCTATGCGCCGCCGACGTTGGCCCTCTTGTCAGGCCGCCCCCCCTTCTCCTCCCCCTCCCCCTCCTCCCCCTCCCCCCCTCCTCCTCCTCCTCCTCCCCCCTCCTCCTCCTCCTCCTCCTCCTCCTCCTCCTCCTCTCCTCCTCCTCCTCCTCCTCCTCCTCCTCCTCCTCCTCCTCCTCTCCTCCTCCTCCTCCTCCTCCTCCTCCTCCTCCTCCTCCTCTTCCTCCTCCTCCCCCTCCTCCTCCTCCTCCTCCTCCTCCTCCTCCTCCTCCTCCTCCTCCTCCTCCTCCTCCTCCCCGCCGCCCTGCCCCCTCGTGTGCGCCACGGAGGCTGCCCGGGGCAAGTCTACACTGGCCACGTCAAGTCTTATCGAGGGCGCCTCGGGCGAATCAACGCCGCCCCAAGGACCCTTTTGGAAGCAGCTGCGTGGCGGAAGTGTGGAGCGAGAGTGCGGCCACGGGTGGACTGTGCGTGCTCTTTGTCGTTGGGGGAGCCACTGGGGGGATACTGGGGAGGCGCCCACCGGGGTTGTCTGGGAGCTGTCTTGTGGCTGTCCTAGGAATATTTCCGCGCCTGTTGGCCTTTCTTGGGGGCATCCTGGGACCCTCAGCGGCCTTCTTGGGGCTCTCCCGGGCAGTCTTAGGGCGCTTTGGGGCCGCCTGGGCCTTCAAAGCCATCTTGGGGGCCTCCATGCCGTCTTGAGGCTCTCCTGGGGCCACTTGGGGCTGTTTAGGGTCTCTCCTGGGCCGTCTCGGGGCGTTTTGGGGGCCTCTTGAGCCACCTTGAGGCCCTCGTTAGCAGTCCAAGGCCCTCTTTGAGGCCTCTTCGGCCGTCTTGGGACCATCTTGCATGCCTCTTGGACAGTATTGGGTTTTCGAAATTCCGAAAAGTGAGCACGTGTCAATCTATCAACAGCCATCGGGAAATCCTTACTTGTGGCATCATGGAGCATTCTGGATGTTGTCGGGGGCTCTTGGAAGCCTCTGGGGCCGTTGGGGCCATCTTGTGACCGACTTGGGCCAACTCGGAGGCCTCTTGTGACTCTCTTGGGCCACCTTGGTGGCCAGTGGGACCACCTTGGGCCTGCTTGGAGACCATCTCGGACATATTGAAGGCAGATTGGTTTGACCAGAGTGAGGGGGCCGAACGGTCATTCATTGTCCCTGGGTGCGTGGCTGAAGTGAGAATCCGTGGTGAGGATTACTGTATGTTTGTTGCGTTAGTGTTGTTGTTGGTGGTGTTGGTGGTGTCGTTGTGAATGATGTTGGTTGATGCTGTTGTTGGTGGTGTTGGTGTTGGTGTTGGTGTTGGTGTTGGTTGCTGTTGTTGTGGCTGTTGCTGTTGTTGGTGGTGGTGTTGCTGTTACTGCTGGTGTTGCTGTTGTTGTTGTTGCTGTTGATGATGGTGTTGTTGATGTTGGTGTTGGTGTTGGTGTTGTTATTGTTGTTGTTGGTGTTGGTGTTGCTGTTGCTGTTGTTCTTGTTGTGGTTAAGTATTATTGTTGGACCCCTTACAGGCGCCTTGGCGCTCTCGCCGAGGCGCCAGCTACATGTTCATTGACAATGAGGCTCACGTTCCAGCGGTTTCGGGGGACCGCCACAATCGCCCCCAAACAACAAGAACACTCCCGCTCGAGACTTTTTCTTTTTACCTAACAGCTTGTTCTGATAGGTTTCTAGTGGGGTCAAAAGAGAGCAGCAAATGACTCCACAGGGGGGTCTGGGCGGGTGCCGGACAGGGTGCCGCAGAAGTCGTTTTAAGCCAACAGTCACACACTTCGTGCTCTTCGACCTCCCAGAACTCCATTCCCGGGCCACATTCTGAATGCCCGGAGCCAACTGTAGGCCACTTCGTGCTCTTCGAGTCCCAGAATTCCATTCCCGGGCCACATTTTGAATGCCCGGAGCCAACTGTAGACCACTTCGTGGTCTTCGAGTCCCCAGAACTCCATTCCCGGGCCACATTTTGAATGCCCGGAGCCAACTGTAGGCCACTTCGTGCTCTTCGAGTTCCCAGAACTCCATTCCCGGGCCACATTTTGAATGCCCGGAGCCAACTGTAGGCCACTTCGTGCTCTTCGAGTTCCCAGAACTCCATTCCCGGGCCACATTTGGATGCCCGGAGCCAACTGTAGGCCACTTCGTGGTCTTCGAGTTCCCAGAACTCCATTCCTGGGCATGATTTTGAATGCCCGGAGCCAACTGTAGGCCACTTCGTGTTCTTCGAGTTCCCAGAACTCCATTCCCGGGCCACATTTTGAATGCTGAGGCAGGCTGATGCTGAGGCTGAGGCAGGCTGAGGCTGAGGCAGGCTGAGGCTGAGGCCGAGGCTGAAGGCAGACTGAGGCTGAGGCTGAAGCAGGCTGAGGCTGAGGCTGAGGCAGGCTGAGGCTGAGGCTGAGGCAGGCTGATGCTGAGGCAGGCTGAGGCTGAGGCTGAGGCTGATGCAGGCTGAGGCTGAGGCAGCCTGAGGCTGACGCCGAGGCTGAAGGCAGACTGAGGCTGAGGCTGAAGGCTGAGGCTGAGGCAGGCTGAGGCTGAGGCAGGCAGGCTGAGGCTGAGGCAGGCTGAGGCTGAGGCTGTGACTGTGACTGCCGTTGCCACTGCGACTGTCATCGCGAATGCGACTACGACTGCGAGAACAGCAGAATTCTACAACTGGATTCTCATCTGAATCTTAAGGGGAATGCTTCCAGATATGCTCCTACACATCGCTGTTAGGTTGCTTTGCCGGGATAATTTCCTCAGGGCTGATATTCCTGCTCGCCGCCAGAAGCCGCCGTCAGAACAAAATTAGCGCTCCCGCTCGAGACCTTCTCCCGTTTACATTGGGCTGGCGCGCTAGTCTTTCTTTCATCGGCGCCGCCCGCAGCAAAAACAACGCTCTCGCTCGAGGCTTTCTCAATGTTTGACTCAAGGCGGTGCTCCTCCTCGCCGCCGAAAGCCGCCGCCCCGACAAAACCAGCGCTCCCGCCCGAGACTTCCTTCCGTTTTACACTGGACTGGCGCCCAACTCTCTTTTGAATTGGCGCCGCTTCCAGCAAGAACAACGCTCTCGCTCGAGGCTTCCTCCATTTTTCCTGAAGACCGTGCTTTTCCCCGCCGCCGGCAACCCCCGTCCGACAAAGCCACGGCTCCCGCTCGATGCCTCCCTTCTTACTCAAGGCGGTGTTCCTCCTCGCCGCCGAAAACCGCCGCCCTGACAAAACCAGCGCTTCCGCCCGAGAGTTCCTTCCGTTTTACGCTGCGCTGGCGCCCTACTCCCTTTTGAATTGGCACCGCTCCCAGCAAGAACAGCGCCCCCGCTCGAGATTTCCTTTTTACCTAACAGCGTAGACTGATAGGTCTTAGTTGACTCAAAAGAGCTCACAGATCACTCCACAGGGGGGTCCGGGCGGGTGCCGGACAGGGTGCCGCAGAAGTCGTTTTAAGCCAACAGTCACACACTTCGTGCTCTTCGACCTCCCAGAACTCCATTCCCGGGCCACATTCTGAATGCCCGGAGCCAACTGTAGGCCACTTCGTGCTCTTCGACTTCCCAGAACTCCATTCCCGGGCCACATTTTGAATGCCCGGAGCCAACTGTAGGCCACTTCGTGGTCTTCGAGTTCCCAGAACTCCATTCCCGGGCCACATTTTGAATGCCCGGAGCCAACTGTAGGCCACTTCGTGGTCTTCGAGTTCCCAGAACTCCATTCCCGGGCCACATTTTGAATGCCCGGAGCCAACTGTAGGCCACTTCGTGGTCTTCGAGTTCCCAGAACTCCATTCCCGGGCCACATTTTGATGCCCGGAGCCAACTGTAGGCCACTTCGTGGTCTTCGAGTTCCCAGAACTCCATTCCTGGGCATGATTTTGAATGCCCGGAGCCAACTGTAGGCCACTTCGTGTTCTTCGAGTTCCCAGAACTTCATTCCCGGGCCACATTTTGAATGCTGAGGCAGGCTGAGGCTGAGGCTGAGGCAGGCTGATGCTGAGGCAGGCTGAGGCTGAGGCTGAGGCTGATGCAGGCTGAGGCTGAGGCAGGCTGAGGCTGAGGCCGAGGCTGAAGGCAGACTGAGGCTGAGGCTGAAGCAGGCTGAGGCTGAGGCTGAGGCAGGCTGAGGCTGAGGCAGGCTGAGGCTGAGGCTGAGGCAGGCTGAGGCTGAGGCTGTGTCTGTGACTGCCGTTGCCACTGCGACTGTCATCGCGAATGCGACTACGACTGCGAGAACAGCACAATTCTACAACTGGATTCTCATCTGAATCTTAAGGGGAATGCTTCCAGATATGCTCCTACACATCGCTGTTAGGTTGCTTTGCCGGGATAATTTACCTAACAGCTTTTGCTGATAGGTTCCTAGTGGTCTCAAAAGAGAGCAGCAGATGACTCCACAGGGGGGTCGGGGCGGGACCCGGACAGGCTGCCGCCGCGGCTGCCGCCGAAGCCCAAATCGCTTGGGACATCCTCGCAAAATCGCTCTTGGCGCTGCTAGAACTCCATTCCCGGCGTACATTTTGGATGCCCGGAGCCAATTGTAAGCCACTTCGTGCTCTTCGACTTCCCAGAACGCCATTCCCGGCGTACATTTTGGATGCCCGGAGCCAACTGTAGGCCACTTCGTGGTCTTCGAGCTCCCAGAACTCCATTCCCGGGCCACATTTTGGATGCCCGGAGCCAATTGTAGGCCACTTCGTGCTCTTCGAGTTCCCAGAACTCCATTCCCGGCCACATTTTGAATGCCCGGAGCCAACTGTAGGCCACTTCGTGGTCTTCAAGTTCCCAGAACTCCATTCTTGGGCATGATTTTGAATGCCCGGAGCCAACTGTAGGCCACCTTCGTGTTCTTCTAGTTCCCAGAATTCCATTCCTGGGCCACATTTTGAATGCTGAGGCAGGCTGATGCTGCAGGCTGCAGGCTGAGGCAGGCTGAGGCTGAGGCCGAGGCTGAAGGCAGACTGAGGCTGAGGCTGAAGCAGGCTGAGGCTGAGGCTGAGGCAGGCTGAGGCTGAGGCTGAGGCAGGCTGATGCTGAGGCAGGCTGAGGCTGAGGCTGAGGCTGATGCAGGCTGAGGCTGAGGCAGGCTGAGGCTGAGGCCGAGGCTGAAGGCAGACTGAGGCTGAGGCTGAAGCAGGCTGAGGCTGAGGCTGAGGCAGGCTGAGGCTGAGGCTGAGGCAGGCTGAGGCTGAGGCAGGCTGAGGCTGAGGCTGTGACTGCGACTGCCGTTGCCACTGCGACTGTCATCGCGAATGCGACTACGACTGCGAGAACAGCAGAATTCTACAACTGGATTCTCATCTGAATCTGAAGGGGAATGCTTCCAGATATGCTCCTACACATCGCTGTTAGGTTGCTTTGCCGGGATGTTTTTTTCTCGGGACGGT